ATTAAATTAATTGAACTAAAAATTCCGTCGATCTTGTTTTAACTAAAAATTTTAATGTTTGCTTATATTAGTTAAAAATCTACACAGAAGTTCTTTGTAAAGGCAATTCTCCGAAAACCTTATAATTAGTAATTTTGCAAATCATTTCTTCAATGTTAAACTGTATAGCCATAAAAATAAAGAACTCATATGAAGAAACGTTAATATATTTCATAAAAGTAAAAGAAAAACTCCATCCATTAATAAAAAACTTACCGCAAGTCTGTTTCGAGAGAAAGCCCAAGCTGATTTCTAAAAGAAAAAGAAAAAGAAAAAAGAACGGTTAGTATCATTCTAAATGAAAGAATCCCGTCTACCCATAAAAGCTTATCACAAGAAAAAGTCCAAGCTGATTTCTAAAAAAAAGAAAAGAGAACGGTTAGTACTATTTTAAATGAAAGAATCCCGCCTACCCATAAAAGCTTATCACGAAAGAAAGTCCAAGCCGATTCCTAAAAAAAAGAAGAAAAATAGTACCGTTCTAAAAGAAAGAATTAACAACCTATCCATAAAAACTTACCATGAGTCCGTTTCGAGAGAAAGTCCAAACTGATTCCTAAAAAAAGAAGAAAGAAAAAAATGGTTAGTACCGTTCTAAAAGAAATAATTAACAACACATTCATAAAAAACTTACCATGAGTCCGTTTCGAGAAAAGTCCAAGCCGATTCCTAAAAAAAAAATGGTTAGTACTGTTCCAAAAGAAAGAATTAATAACCCCACCCATAAAAACTTACCACAAATCCGTTTCGAGAGAAAGTCCAAGCCGATTCCTAAAAAAAAGAAAAAAGAAAAAAATGGTTAGTACTGTTCTAAAAGAAAGAATTAACAACCCACCCATAAAAAACTTATCACTAGTCCATTTCGAGAAAAAGTCCAAGCCGATTCCTAAAAAAAAAAAAGAAAGATAGTACCGTTCCAAAAGAAAGAATTAACAACCTACCCATAAAAAACTTACCACTAGTCCGTTTCGAGAAAAAGTCCAAGCTGATTCCTAAAAAAAAGAAGAAAGAAAAATGGTTAGTACTGTTTCAAAAGAAGAATTAACCTGCCTACCTATAAAAACTTACCGTAAGTTCGCTTAAAAAGTTCAACCCAAATCCTAAAAAAAGAAGAGAAAAACAGAGTGGCTAGTACCAGTTCAAAGAAAAATATTAAACCCACTTTGAAATGGCAGTTCATAACTCAGGTAATTAAAATTTGAATTACTTGTGAGCGGGGTTTACGTCGTCTCACTTTAGAGGTTTCCCTCCTGATCATCACTAAGCACTTTTAAAGGTTTAGAAGAGATGAAAAGCGAAACCCATCCTCATTTAGTAGGTTTTGCTTATTTTAAAAAATGGAAGGAGAGAGTAAGTCAAAGAGATAAGATAATTAAAGAGTTAAAGCAAAAAGGTCAACAAAGAGAAGGAGAATTTAAAAAGGAACGGATCGACCTTTACCACGATCGAAAAGAATACTACGAAAGAATAATTAAAACTGAAAGAGAAAGTAAACAAGTCCTTAAATCTGAGATGAATAGACTTTATCTTTCAAACACTCTTGACAACTCACTATGCTTTTACAAATATTCAGATTATCATCTATCACAATATCAAAATCTGAAGCATTTCTTTAATTCAGTCGACTTTACTTTGCCTTTGGGTTTTACTATTAAAACTGATTAATTGTAAAGCAATTTCACCTCTAAAATAAGTTTTTCCATCTTTTTCAATAAACTCTCCTTGGTTAAGTTAACTTTTTTTCTCTTATTTTTAGGCCATTAAAATGGAAGTTCGTGAATATCGTGACTTTTTTATTTTTTTATATTAGCTATCAAAGCTATCAAAAATAGAGTTTCCTCCCTTTCTATTACAAAGAAAACTGTGTTATGAATCTATTTTTAGATTCTGATCATTTAGTGTAACTTTGTATTGATTCCTTATTATTTTTAGATGTCAATTATTTTAGTGTAACATTTGCTTTTATCGAATTTTTTATTAAAAATGTAGCCTATGCAGAAATATATTCAAATTTAGCAAAAACTCATTTTTCATTTTCGGGGGAGTTTCCTCCCTTTCTATTGCAAAGGCTTCAAATGATCCTAGAAGCAGTATTGTCATAAGACATTGATGGGACACTGATGGAACGCTGATGGGACATAGATGGGACAGATAGGACATTTAGAACATAGTGTGAAACAGGTTGAAACATATAGCTGGGACAACAAATCTCTGGGATATCAAAAATGTACATCACTGCTTAGAAGATCACCCTAGATATAAAAAAAATATATATAGTGTAATTTTAATATAAATATACTTGTAATCTTAAGGAAATAAATTTGTCTTCTTGAATGTTATTCGTTCTGTAAATATTTGTTTCCTATATGAAAAAATAAATTTTCACTTTAGCACAAATAAGCCCAAAACCTATTTGGCTTTTAATCTGAGTAACAAAAAATTTCACTTATAGTTCTTAAGTTTTGAATTGCAAGTTGTCTCCCAATTTGCATACAATAATAATGGTAACACTTGCTAGGAAAAAAATATAGCAGGAATATGAGCAAGCCTTTTAGGATGAAGCGAATATGAATGCTATATTTTTTTGACCTTATGCTACCCTATTCTAATATATGCTATTATATGAGGTATATTCAAAAGTTAACATGATTGCAAAATATACATTCACTCATAGCCTCCTAATTTGCATACAATAATGGTAGTACTTGCTAGGAGAAAAATACAACAGGAATATGAGCAAGCCCTTTAGGGCGAAACGAATGTGAATGCTATATTTTTTCAATCCATATGCTACTTTATTTTAGTATGACAATATATAAGGTAAATATGAATGCAGAAGTTGCGAAGCACTGAAGGTGCAGAGCATGTACCTAAAACATGAAAAAAATCAAGTGATATAAATGCATACATATTGGGTTTTAAGATCAATCCCAGAATATTTTCGTCATTATCTCCAGACTATTCACTAAATAAATCTAATTTTAGATCATTCTCAAAACTATCAGAACATTCTCTGTCATTAGCCTGACTTTTTGCAAGCTTCCGACGTTGATAAAATTCTCTAGAGCGATACTTACTTGAATGTTTTTTACAAGTACCATATTCAGAAAAGTTTTTTTATCGCATTCAGGTTGTATACATAGATATTATTTAAGTGAATTCTGATGGATTTTACATCCTTTTGGATTATAACATCTCTGATTGCATTCTTTTTCAGTTCTAAAATAAAGTAGCATATGGATTGAAAAAATATAGCATTCACATTCGTTTCGCCCTAAAGGGCTTGCTCATATTCCTGTTGTATTTTTCTCCTAGCAAGTACTACCATTATTGTATGCAAATTAGGAGGCTATGAGTGAATGTATATTTTGCAATCATGTTAACTTTTGAATATACCTCATATAATAGCATATATTAGAATAGGGTAGCATAAGGTCAAAAAAATATAGCATTCATATTCGCTTCATCCTAAAAGGCTTGCTCATATTCCTGCTATATTTTTTTCCTAGCAAGTGTTACCATTATTATTGTATGCAAATTGGGAGACAACTTGCAATTCAAAACTTAAGAACTATAAGTGAAATTTTTTGTTACTCAGATTAAAAGCCAAATAGGTTTTGGGCTTATTTGTGCTAAAGTGAAAATTTATTTTTTCATATAGGAAACAAATATTTACAGAACGAATAACATTCAAGAAGACAAATTTATTTCCTTAAGATTACAAGTATATTTATATTAAAATTACACTATATATATTTTTTTTATATCTAGGGTGATCTTCTAAGCAGTGATGTACATTTTTGATATCCCAGAGATTTGTTGTCCCAGCTATATGTTTCAACCTGTTTCACACTATGTTCTAAATGTCCTATCTGTCCCATCTATGTCCCATCAGCGTTCCATCAGTGTCCCATCAATGTCTTATGACAATACTGCTTCTAGGATCATTTGAAGCCTTTGCAATAGAAAGGGAGGAAACTCCCCCGAAAATGAAAAATGAGTTTTTGCTAAATTTGAATATATTTCTGCATAGGCTACATTTTTAATAAAAAATTCGATAAAAGCAAATGTTACACTAAAATAATTGACATCTAAAAATAATAAGGAATCAATACAAAGTTACACTAAATGATCAGAATCTAAAAATAGATTCATAACACAGTTTTCTTTGTAATAGAAAGGGAGGAAACTCTATTTTTGATAGCTTTGATAGCTAATATAAAAAAATAAAAAAGTCACGATATTCACGAACTTCCATTTTAATGGCCTAAAAATAAGAGAAAAAAAGTTAACTTAACCAAGGAGAGTTTATTGAAAAAGATGGAAAAACTTATTTTAGAGGTGAAATTGCTTTACAATTAATCAGTTTTAATAGTAAAACCCAAAGGCAAAGTAAAGTCGACTGAATTAAAGAAATGCTTCAGATTTTGATATTGTGATAGATGATAATCTGAATATTTGTAAAAGCATAGTGAGTTGTCAAGAGTGTTTGAAAGATAAAGTCTATTCATCTCAGATTTAAGGACTTGTTTACTTTCTCTTTCAGTTTTAATTATTCTTTCGTAGTATTCTTTTCGATCGTGGTAAAGGTCGATCCGTTCCTTTTTAAATTCTCCTTCTCTTTGTTGACCTTTTTGCTTTAACTCTTTAATTATCTTATCTCTTTGACTTACTCTCTCCTTCCATTTTTTAAAATAAGCAAAACCTACTAAATGAGGATGGGTTTCGCTTTTCATCTCTTCTAAACCTTTAAAAGTGCTTAGTGATGATCAGGAGGGAAACCTCTAAAGTGAGACGACGTAAACCCCGCTCACAAGTAATTCAAATTTTAATTACCTGAGTTATGAACTGCCATTTCAAAGTGGGTTTAATATTTTTCTTTGAACTGGTACTAGCCACTCTGTTTTTCTCTTCTTTTTTTAGGATTTGGGTTGAACTTTTTAAGCGAACTTACGGTAAGTTTTTATAGGTAGGCAGGTTAATTCTTCTTTTGAAACAGTACTAACCATTTTTCTTTCTTCTTTTTTTTAGGAATCAGCTTGGACTTTTTCTCGAAACGGACTAGTGGTAAGTTTTTTATGGGTAGGTTGTTAATTCTTTCTTTTGGAACGGTACTATCTTTCTTTTTTTTTTTTAGGAATCGGCTTGGACTTTTTCTCGAAATGGACTAGTGATAAGTTTTTTATGGGTGGGTTGTTAATTCTTTCTTTTAGAACAGTACTAACCATTTTTTTCTTTTTTCTTTTTTTTAGGAATCGGCTTGGACTTTCTCTCGAAACGGATTTGTGGTAAGTTTTTATGGGTGGGGTTATTAATTCTTTCTTTTGGAACAGTACTAACCATTTTTTTTTTAGGAATCGGCTTGGACTTTTCTCGAAACGGACTCATGGTAAGTTTTTTATGAATGTGTTGTTAATTATTTCTTTTAGAACGGTACTAACCATTTTTTTCTTTCTTCTTTTTTTAGGAATCAGTTTGGACTTTCTCTCGAAACGGACTCATGGTAAGTTTTTATGGATAGGTTGTTAATTCTTTCTTTTAGAACGGTACTATTTTTCTTCTTTTTTTTAGGAATCGGCTTGGACTTTCTTTCGTGATAAGCTTTTATGGGTAGGCGGGATTCTTTCATTTAAAATAGTACTAACCGTTCTCTTTTCTTTTTTTTAGAAATCAGCTTGGACTTTTTCTTGTGATAAGCTTTTATGGGTAGACGGGATTCTTTCATTTAGAATGATACTAACCGTTCTTTTTTCTTTTTCTTTTTCTTTTAGAAATCAGCTTGGGCTTTCTCTCGAAACAGACTTGCGGTAAGTTTTTTATTAATGGATGGAGTTTTTCTTTTACTTTTATGAAATATATTAACGTTTCTTCATATGAGTTCTTTATTTTTATGGCTATACAGTTTAACATTGAAGAAATGATTTGCAAAATTACTAATTATAAGGTTTTCGGAGAATTGCCTTTACAAAGAACTTCTGTGTAGATTTTTAACTAATATAAGCAAACATTAAAATTTTTAGTTAAAACAAGATCGACGGAATTTTTAGTTCAATTAATTTAAT